TGTGTGTGTGTCTTATGGTGCCTGAACTGTGGGCCTGTGTGTGTGTGTGTGTGTGTGTGTGTGTCTTATGGTGCCTGAACTGTGGGCCTGGGCACTGTCCCTCAGCTCTTCAGTTCAAGGCTAGCACTCTACCACTTGAGTCACAGCACCACATCAGGTTTTTTCTGCTTATGTGATGCTGAGGAATCGAACCCAGGACCCCATGCATGCAAGGCAAGCACTCTACGACCTTTCCAGCCCTTAATAGACTTTAAATTTTTTTGCCAGACTTGGCCTTTAAACTCAGGGCTTGTGCTTGCTCAGCTTGCCACAGGAGCCATGCCTTCAAACTGGCTTTTTCCTTATTATTTCCAAGATCAGATTTCACAAACTTGCCTGACTAGCCTGGCTTTGAACCCTAATCCTCCAGGTATCAGCCTTCTGAATAGGTAGGATTACAGTCCTGAGCCACTGGTCACTGGAATGTTTTTTCCTAACTATTTAAGAGTTTTTATTATTCTGAGTTGAGTAATTTAAGGCCTCAGGATTTGTATTGGGAGAAGTTAGTGTTTCTAGAGCATGGTAGCATACACTGGAGATTGCAGAGTCTGGAAACTGAGGCAGAAAGATAATTCAAAGTCTACATAATGGGACTACATGGTGAGTTTGAGACCAGTTTGAGCTATATATTAAGATTTGGTGTTTAAAAAAAACAAAAACAAGAAGTTACTTAATATATCATTTATAATATTTTCTGTAAACAGAAAAAAGGAGTTCATCGTTGTATGAAATGCAGACTGCAATTTTTGACCTACAAGGAAAAAATAGAACACAAGGCACAGCACCGTACATTTATAAAGCCTAAGGAACTAGAAGGATTGCTTCCTGGAACAAAAGTATGTATTAAATATGATACCAGTATATTACCTTACTATAATCATGTAGCATTTAAAATTAAGTTTTTGGTGTGCTTTTTCATATATCCTATCTATTTTATTCATGCAGCAATCCCATGAGGGAGACAAGGTATGTGTTATATCCTGTATTAGAGATGAGGAGGATTAGATACATTCTTTACTCAAGCCCATATGGGTAGGAAGAGATAGCATTGAAATTTAAACTCAGTTCTATGACTTCTACTTCAGTATTTTTTTATGATAGCAAACCACATATATTTCATAGGACTTTACTTAAGCTACTCACCAAACACATGGGGGGGGAATATAGTTACATGACTATAGAGAATAGTAGTAGATAACTGTGAGTATAATCATTTTATTTTTCTAAACATTTAGTTATAATAATTTCTTTGGCAGTACTGGGGTTTGAACTCAGAACTTCATAATTACTAGGTGTCCGGTGTTCTATCACTTGAGCTCCAGACCCCTTTTATTGTGTATGTATGTGTGTGTGTGTGCACGTGCGCGCATGCGCGCACAGGCACACACACTTAGGCTTGAACTCAGGACCTGGGTGCTGCTCCTGAGCTTTTTTGCTCAAGGCTAGCACTCTAACATACTGATCCAAAGTTCCACTTCTGGCTTTTTGGTGGTTACTTGGAGATGGGAGTCTCATGGACTTTCCTTACCAGGATGACATTGAACTATGATCCTCAAATCTCAGCTTCCTGAATAGATAGGATTACAAGCATGAGCCACTGGTGCTCAGCTTACTGTGGTTATTTTTGAGATAGGTTCTCACTTTTTTCCCTGTTTGGACTGTAAGACTCATATTTGTGTTTCTTATTGTAGATGGAATAACAGGCACATGCCCATCACAGCCAGCTTTTTATTGATTGAGTTGGAATCTCTTAAAATTTTACCCAGGCTGGCCTTCTGAGTAACTAGGATTACAGGCATGAGCCACTGCATCAAACTTAAATTATAAGTTTTGTATTAGTTCCTGATAAGAAAATTGAGTGTTATTAAAGTCTGTGTGCTATATGATGAATTGATATAACCTCCACTGTATCATTTGGAAGCAAAACCCTGCCATTGAGCCCTAGAAAAGAGAAAGTCACATTTACTGAAAATCTGTTAATACAGAATTTTTCAGAGTCATTTCTGTCTTTGAGATTTATTTTTGTCTTTTGTTCCAGTGCTGAGAATTGAATTGGTAGTCTTATGCATACTAGGAAAGTGCTCTGCTACTTAGCTATAGCCCCCTGACTTTAAATGTTTTGTGCTGCTGAAAATTGAACCCAGGTTCTCTTGCTTGCTTTTATCACTGGGCCACAGCCAGTTCTTAAATTTTGACATCTGTAAGAGAAATCTTTTTAGTTATATTGAGGCATAGTTATATTAAAGCATAGGTTCTTAGGAGAAGAACACAAAGGCACAGTGTCTATGTGCATCTGGTCATATAAAATAATATTTATCTAAATGAACTCCAGGAAGTAGAAACAAGAGGTTTTTTTGTTGCTATTTCTTTGTTTTCTTTTTGTCTTGTTTGTTCCTCTGTCTGTCTTTAACAGGTAAGGGTTGGGCACAGAAATAGAGGGACAAAGGGTGAACAAATGCACCAGTGGTACTCACTAGAAACTGAGTTTACAATGAACTATACAAATTATTTGGGGGGGGGAGGTGCAGGCACCGGTGGCTCATGCCTGTAATCCTAGCTACTCAGGAGGTTGAGATCTGAGGATCGTGGTTCAGAGCCAGCCCAGGCAGGAAAGTCCATGAAACTCTTATCTCCAATAAACACTCAGAAAACCGGAAGTGGCCCTTTAGCTCAAGTGGTAGAGCGCTCGCCTTGAGCTGAAGAGCTGAGGGGCAGTGCCCAGGCCCAGAGTTCAAGCCCCACGACTGACAAAAAAAAATTTGGGAGAGAGTGAAGGAAGGGGTGACATTGTCCAAAAATAAATATACTCTTTACCTGACTTATGCAACTGTAACCCCTCTGTATATCACTTTTCTAATAAAAATAAAGAATAATTTTAAAGTAAATTAAAAAATGGTTCCACCTTACTGAGTTGTTGAAGAAGAAAGGACTCAGTGAGAAGTCAATGAGATGAGACCCTTGTCTCAATGTACTTGACCAACTCAGATATTCCCAAAAGTTCCAAACACCCAGGAGAAATCTGTTATACTCTTTTTATCTTACATAGATTTATTTTTTCCAAAGAAAAAAATAACCAAGGATGTGCATTTTGGACATTTGTGTAATTTATACTAACTCCTAATTATCCATTTGAACATGTTAACATGTAACATATATATATATATATGAAATTATAACACTAAATATCAAGGCAAATGTTATTTAATTGAGTCATTTAGAATAAATGAGAGGTTATAAGGTGGGGCTCAAGTGGTAGAATGTGTATCTAGCAAGTGGAAAATCATGAGTTCAAACCCCAGTACCACCAAAATATAAGTCAGCTGGGAAACCTCTGACTTATGCCTATAATCCTAGCTATCCAGGAGGATGAGAATGGGAGGATCACCAAGGCAAGCTCCAGCAGAAAAGTCCATCAGAACTCTTTCAACAGAAAGGATCCATACATGGTTGCACACATTTTTCATCAGACTTAGTCCAGGAAACCTAAAATAGAAGGAACACGGCCCAAGTGCATACCCAGATAAGAAATGAGAACCTATCTCAGAAACAACAAATACAATCCAGATGCCAGTGACTTGTGCCTGTAATCCTAACTACTCAGAAGGCTAGGATCTGAGGATTGCAATTTAAAGCCAGCCTGGGCAGGAAAGTCCATGAGACTCTTCTGTCTAGTTAACCCCCAGAAAGCCAGAAGTTGAGCTGTGGCTAGCCTAGAGCAAAAACCAAACAAACTCAGGGACAGCACCTAGGCCCTGAGTTCAAGTTCCAGGACTGGCATACATACAAACCAATACGAAAAACAGAAAAGTACAAAAAGGACCAGAGACATAGCTGCACAGCTGAGAAAAAAGTACCACCAAGAGAAAAAAAGAGTGAGACTTATCTAATAGTAGTTTATGCTTGCTGTTTTCAAAAGAGTAATATTTAACTTCTTTTTTGGAGGGAGTCAGTCATGGGGCTTGAAATCAGGGCCTGGGTGCTGTCCCTGAGCTCGTTTGCTCAAGGCTAGTGCTCTACCACTTTGAGCCACAGCATCACCTCCTATTTAACTTCCATATTACAGTTTTGTAAAACTTTGTTGAAAATATAATTCATATTCTAGCAAATTCATCATTTGAAGTACTTATTTCAATGGTTTTATGGCCTCACTAGTTTTGTTTTTGTTTTTGTTGGTTTGGGGTGACATAAAGTCTGATCTTAGGGCCTTGTGCTTGCTGGGCAGGCTCTCTACTACACTCCCACCTCTCATTGTTTTTATTTTATACTCAGAGTTATTACACACATTGCCATAATGATTGTTAGAATGTTTTCATCACTCTAAAAATAAATCTCATATCCACTCGGGTTTTACTACCATTGTCCCATATAAACTTTAATCATATCTCTATGGATTTTCCTATTCTGGAAACTTTGTATAAATGGAATCCTACAGTATAACATGATAGGTGACTGGTTTCTTCTGCTTAGCATAATGGTTCTTAGGTTCATCCGTATTGTGGCCTATTTCAATACTTCATTTCTTTTGTAACCTAATTAACACTGCATTTATGGATATATCACAGTTTATCAATTCATTATTGGACATTTGTTATGTTTTCTCTTTTGGATCTGTTATGAATAAGGCTGATGCAAGAATTAATGTACAGGTTTTTGTGGTGGCATATATTTTTATTTTTCTTAGAAATGTATAGAGTAGAAATTTTGAGTTGTGTAACTCTTTAAAGACATTGTGTAACAATGGTCATAAGAGATTATTCTCTTATTTTTCCTAAGAGTTATATACTTTTAGCTCTTAAAATTTGTCTTTGATAAATTTTGGGTTAATTGCTATTATTATAAAATAGGGATTCACATTTATTCTTTTTGGGGAGGACAGTACTGGGCTTGAACTTAGAGCTCCATATTTGCTAGATTGACACTCTATAACTTGAGCCAAGCTTTCAGCCCTGTTTTTTTTTGTGCCAGTCCTGGGGCTTGAGCTCAGGGCCTGGGCGCTGTTCCTGAGCTTCTTTTGCTCTACCATTTGAGCCACAGCTCCACTCCTGGCTTTTTGGTAGTTTAGTGAAGATAAAAGTCTCACAGACTTTCCTGCCCAGGCTGGCTTGAACCGTAATCCACAGATTTTTTAGCTTCCTGACTAGGATCACAGGTGTGAGCCACTAGCACCTGGCCCAGCTCTTCTTTATATTGGCCATTTTTTTCTGGAGATGGAGTCTAGTATACTACTCTGTGTAGGTTGGCCTCAAACCTCCATCCTCTAGATCTCAACCTCCTGAATATCTAGGTTTACAGGTGTGAGCACCCAGCTTGAATTCTTTCTTCTGTGTGTAGATAGCAGTTTTTACAGTACCATTCCCTCATTGAATTATTTTATTTTTTCACCCTTGGAAAAATTGATCATAAGTAGTAGGCCCTTTCCGGTACTATTTTTTATTCTGCTGTGATAATTAGTTTTTGAAAAGTATATGTAGCTTTTTCTTTTATAGATTACTATCCGAGCTTCATTGGGACCTGTTCAGGCACTATCAAGTACAGATTCCAGTTGTATTCCAAGTACTTCTCTTCAGATCTTACCTTCAACTTCTACGGGTGCAACTACTAAAAATCTAAAGAATCCTGCAAGTAAATATAAGACAAATAAACAGCAAGCAAGTGTATCTACTGCAGCTAAACCTAATACAAGTAGGTCAAGCACAAATACCTCCAAGTGCAAAGGCAAGCAGTCTTGCAAGCAAAGGAGACAGCGCAACAGAAAAAATGCAATCAGCATAGCTTTGAAGAATTTAAGGTACTTTTATTCTCAACATACAATACTAATTTAATCTCAAATGTTAAAGGTGTATTTTAATAAGACTTCCATATCACAGAATTCTCTTGCACATTTACATGATAGCCACTTAACCTGGAGCAAAAGCCAAGCAAATGATAAAAAGGTACTGTTGAAGCCAGGCACTGGTAGCTTATGACTGTAATCCTATCTACTCAGGAGACTGAGATTTGATAATTGTGATTCAAACCCAGTTCAGGCAGAAAAGTCCATAAGACTCATCTCCAGTTGACCACCTTTTTTGGTCAGAAGTAGAACTGTGGCTCAAATGGTAGAGTATTAGCTTTAAGAAAAAAATGCTCAGGTCTCAGGACTGGCACAAAGGAAAAAAGGTACTGTTGAATAAAACATAGTATGTGGGGCTGGGAAGGTGGCTCAGTGGTAGAGTGCTTGCCTTGCATGCATGAGGCCCTGGGTTCAATTCCTCAGCACCACATAAACAGAAAAATCCTGAAGTGGCACTGTGGCTCAAGTGGTAAAGCGCTAGCCTTGAGCTGAAGACCTGAGGGACAGTGCCCAGGCCCAGAGTTCAGGCCCCACGACCAACAAAAAAAATTAGTGTTTAGTGTATAATTTTAATCTTTTACACAATCTTATATTGTGCTTTTATCTTATGATAATTGGTTAATTTGATTGTCTTTATTCTACAGAAACATTAACTTGTGTTAGACATTTTGCTTATTGTTTCAAAGCAAATTTACAAGCTGTTAGGTCTTTTTGATGATACAAATTTAAATAATTTGATGATACAAATTTAAATAGTTTGTTGCAATTAATTTAAAATAAAGCTGTGCCTCATTTTTGTTATACAATATATTTTTATTGTTTTTTTCTCTCCATAAGGTATTGTCAGGGAATTCACAAGTGCATTGAGTGTCATTCCAAAATAAAAGATTTTGCAAGCCACTTTTCTCTATCTTCCTATTGTGATCATTGCAAGTACAACACTAACTGTAACAAAGCCTTCCTAAATCATACAGTGAGGTAAGTTAAACACATAAACTACTAATCAAAATTGTCATTTAAGGCTGTGGTTTAGCAACGTTTACCAGGAGGTATGACACTTGTCTAGCATTCATAAAGCTCTAGATTCATTCCTCAGAATCCACCTTCTTCACGTTATGACTCTACTTCCTTGCTACTGCAGGGTCTTGCACCATAATCTTATTGGTCTCAATTGGAACCCACCAGCTTTTCCCTTAATACACTGCTGGGATAAATGTGGTCTCTTATTCTGTGCCAATCACATGGCTTCCCTAATATTGCTTTAATTCTCCCCCTAACTAATAGGCAATTAAATTAGAAAATATTTTTGGCATTTCTTTTTTTGGTGCAAGTGTGTATGCCAGTATTGGAGCTTGAACTGAGGGCCTGGGATTCTCAGACTGGCATTCTACCACTTTGAACCATATCTCTACTTCTGGGTTTGTGGTAGTTAATTAGAGATAAGAGCCTCATAGTCATGGTCTTTCCTGCTCAGGCTAGTTTTGAACTGGGATCCTCGGATCTTAGTTTCCTGAATAGCTAGAATTAAAGGCATGAGCTACTGGCACCTGGCTCCAGCATTCTTAAACTCATGTATCAATTAGTCAAGTTTCCATGACTGTGACAAAATACTTGAGATAAATAACTTTAAGGAGGAAAAGTTAATTTTAGCTCATAGTTCCAGAGATTTCAGTTCATGGCCGGCTAACTCCGTTGTTTGGAGGCCTGTGGAGATGCAGTGTATCAAGGTAAAAAGTGCATGTAGAGCAACGCTGTTTACCTCATGGCAGGCCAAAAGCAAAGTGAGAAGGAGAGGGACAAGGGACAAGACTTCCCAGAAACGCTTTCAAAGGCATCCCTCTAGTGTCCTAACTTCCTTCCACTTAGACTCTAACTCCTACAATTCCCAACTCATTTTTTTTTGTCAGTCATGGGGCTTGAACTCTGGACCTGGGCACTGTCCTTCAACTCTTTATCTCAAGCCTAGTGCCACAGTATCACTTCCGGTTTTCTGGTGGTTTATTGGAGATAAGAGTCTCACGGCCTTTCCTGCCCAGGCTGGCTTTGAACCATGATCCTCAGATCTCAGCCTCCTGCGTAGCTAGGATTACAGGCCTGAGCCACCGGCTCCTGGCAGTTCCCAACCCTTGATAGCACATTCCATCCTCCCTTTTCCCAATTTTCATGAGCTCAATGTTCCCTAATCTCCAGTAAGCCCCAAACCTGCACTGTCATTCTCCTATTGGGGTCTTACTTATCATTAGCCTAGTCCAGATCTGCAAGTTTCCACTCCTCGCTAAAGGACTCATGTGTTCCTTTGCTTTTCCTCTTTTCAGTAGCACTTTGCTTCCCTCATTGCCTCAGGGACCTCACCCTGAAAGTCATTGCTCTTACCTGGTGAAGACTTTTTTTATTGTGAAAATATTGTACAGAGGGATTACAATTACATGGGCAAGATAATGAGTACATTATCGAGCATTGTTGCCTCCTCCTTTGTTTCCCCTTCCCATCCCTTCCCATCTAAGACTTTTTAATCACAGGTTTGAGTCCTGTATGTGAGAGGTTGAGGACCTTTGTTCCCAACCCATAACAGTCCTGTTTCCAGGAAACAGACCCTACCCCCAAATGGTGACTCTTTCCCAATAGATGGTTTCCCTATATGCAATATCTAACATGGTTTTTCTTATTTTGTGTTATTTCCTGTCCTTCTTTTTCCCTCTAATCATCATTCCTTTCTTCGAGTTCTACAGTTTGTATTGTTACTGAGAAAGAAACCCTTTGCATTTACCATAGTACCTAGTCTGAGGATATGTTCTTGATATAATAAATAGGTAAAATGCAATGTAAGACAAAAATATGAATTAAATAGAAATGATCATCTTAGTCCATTTGGATTGCTTTAACAAAATACCATAAACTGGGTAACTTTTTAAGCAAGAGAAATTTATTTTCCTACAGTTCTAGAGACAAACATCTATAATGATCAAGGTGCCAGCAGATACTGGTGTTCTGGTGAAGATATGGTTTTTGTGAATAGAACCTTCTCACTGTGTTCTCATGTGAAAGAAGCAAGCTAGGGCTGGGAAGGTGGCCCAGTGGTAGAGTGCTCGCCTTGCATGCTTGAGGCCCTGGGTTCTATTCCTCAGCACCACATAAGCAGAAAAAAAAAGCCGGAAGTGGCGCTGTAGCCCAAGTGGTAGAGTGCTAGCCTTGAGCTGAGGAGTTGAGGGACAGCGCCCAGGCCCAGAGTTCAGGCCCATGACCAGATCCCCCCCCCCAAAATAAAAAGAAAGAAAGAAGCAAGCTAGCTCTCTGCAATCTCTCTTTTTTTTTTGGATCCGGTCATGGGGCCTGAACTCTGGGCCTGGGTGCTGTCCCTCAGCTCTTCAGCTCAAGGCTAGCGCTCTACCACTTGAGCCACAGCACCATTTCCGGCTTTTTTTCTTTTTGCTTATGTGGTACTGAGGAATCGAACCCAGGGCCTCAGGCATGCAAGGCAAGTGCTCCACCACTGAGCCACCTCCCCAGCCTTGCAATCTCTTTTATAAGGACAGTAATCCCATTCATGAAGGCAGACCAGAATGACTTATTTGCCTCCAAAGGGTTTAACATATTTTAGCATAGGAATTTGGGGGACATGCAGTTACTGAGACCATAGCATTCCCCAACATAATTTCATTACTTAGATAATGATCTTTTATTCTAAACTTAGGAAATTAATATCATGGAACACACCTGTAATCCCAAATACTCAGGAGGCCCAAGCCCAAATCAAAAAAAGTTAAGTGACACCCTGTCTCAACAAAAAAGCCAGTGTGGTGGTAGTTCATGTCTATGATCTCAGTTACATTCATGAGGCATGGTTTGAAGTTGGCCTGAACAAATAAACAAACCTTTAGACACTATCTGAAAAATAACTAAAGAACTAAGCATGGCTCAAGTGGGAGAAAATTCCCTTTGGTCAAACCCCAATACTATAAAAAATGTAGTGATACAGTTAATATTGCTTTCTTTATAATAAAATAGAAACTTTGTTTTTTGTCTATCCAGCTTTCATGGCAGTCAGCCATTGAAATGGTTATGCCTTTTTAAGAAGCATTCGGGAGCTCTCAGGTAAATAGTTGATCTTTTCCGATTTTGTGTACTGAAAAATTGTAGTAACTATTTCAAAATATAGGAGCTGGTGGGGCTGGTGGTTCATGTCTGTATTTCTAACTACTTAGGAGACTGAGATCTGAGGATTGTGGTTTGAAGCCAGCCCAGTCAGGAAAGTCTGAGACTCTTATCTCTAATTAACTACTAAAAAAGCCAAGTGGGGCTGTAGCTCCAGTGGTAGAGCACTAGCCTTAAGCACAAAAGCTCATGGACAGTACCCAGGCCCTGAGAGCCCAGGGACTGGCACACACAAAAAAAGATGGGATTATCATCTGTGACCATATTTTGTTTCAGTGGTGTTAGGCACTGAAATGGAAACTTCATGCATTTGTATTGCAAAATAACAAAAAACATGAGACTAGTATTTGAATAGAAATAAGTTTATTAAAATACTCTTAATATCTGAAATTCATACATAACATTTATAAATCTTAGCTTATGAAATAACTGTGTAAAGCTTGTTTACTATACATTAATATGTTTTGATTAGTATTTATACATGCTTTGGTAATTAACTTTGGTTACACTACATAATACTTTGTTCAGCTTTCACTAAAGTATCATGATTATTCATCTTCTGATTTCTTTTAACTTCCCTTTTTTAGTTGTTTTGCTCATGTTTTCAGACATTTACTAGGCATTGAATAGTAATACCTTGCACACAAGTTGCTTGGTGAATATTTGTTAAGTCATTGTATCTATTGAACACAAATATGTTCATGGTGTTGGACCATCAGCTCATAAGGGAAGTTTGATGCCATTTTAAGAATACATTAGTGCTATTTATAAAACATAACTTAAGAACTAAAAAGGTAAGCCATATTAGGTATTTAGTAAAAATTTTATAGTTTTAAAAGTGAAAATGAATTTATTAATTCTAATGATGAATTCTAATTTTTGCCATGTCAAGCTCAGTTATGTGCTGAGTTTTAAAATTAACTGTTTGATTTCAAAGATATCTGGGCTATAACAAGGCTTGGTGGTACATACCTGTAATTCCAGCATTTGGGAGACCAAGGCTGGAGGATCAGAATTTTGAGGCCAGCCCAGGCTACAGTGGGAGACCCTATCGAGAGAGAGGAGGGCACAGAGAGGGATATCTTTTTCTCAACTTATATATGTCTCAAACATAAGAAGAAATTTAGTCAACTTCTTATATATGGGACATGGCATATTTGTAATTCTGTAGATCACTATTTTTGTAAATAAGGTGTTATAAAAAATGAAGCTATGTATTTTGCATCTACATATTTAACCCAGTGTAACAGGTCCTGTAAAGATTAGGGTCACTGTGATGAAGAGAAAAGCTTGGTACCAACATTCAAGGAATGCACAGTTTATTGGAGGGATATAAAAATGTTGACCTTGGAGCTGTGACCCAGGTCTGAATTCAAGCCCCAGAACTGACATCAAAAACAAAAAGCTGACCATAGATACAGTAAATATAAATATAATGAGGGTTACTGATTTCAAAGGAGAGATAGGTGTCTATGAAGAAATGGCCAGAGGTATGAATGAAAGTGCAGAAGGAAAAGGCAGAATATATACACATTTTACTGAGTCACAATGAATAGTTTAACAATATAGTGTTTATGGAACACAAAGCTCATATAATATAGTGTAAAGATCAAACAGGTTTGAGCTCAGGTCCATGTTTTTAAATCCTTGAAAAAAGTCTAGGGATTTTTGACTTAATTTTAAGTTAGAGGACTTTGAGGAAACCATGAATGTTTTTACTACAATCAAGGGTACTGTAGGAAGATCAGTTTTTTTAAATTAATTTACTTGATTGTTAATATAAAGGTGATATATAGAGGGATTAAAATTACAGGAGTCGAGTAATAAGTACATTCCGATTTGTACAGTGTCTTTTGTTCCCTCACTCTCTCCCATCTCCACCCACAAGTTGTATAGTTCACTTTGGAAGATCAAGGTGAGTTATAGGTATAGGAAGCACTGACTGGTTGAGGCTGTTATAGTTAAGACTGATTAAAAAATGACCTGGGTGAAGGTGGTTAATGGTATTATATGTTTGAAAGTATGGGCTCATGGAAGGGGCCCTAACTCAAGAAGTAGAGTGCTTATCCAGCATACACAGGCCCTGAATTCTATCCCCAGTACCGGAAAAAAAGAATGCCAGTATTTGAGAGACTGAGGCAAAGGAATGGGTTTGAGGGTAGCCTGGGCTACATAGTGAATTCAAAGACCTCCTACACTATATAGCAAAACCCTACCTCAACAAAAAAAAAAAGCAAAAACCAAAGAACATGGGCTCTGGAATCAAAGGGCTAAGATCCAAATCCAGCCTGGCCCTATCCTTTTGTCCTCTACATAATAATGATCATATAGTATTATCCCTTTGGATTGTTATAAGATTAGATCAGATGATAAGTATAAATATAAAAGTGTTTGTGTGTATGCTGGCCTTGGGCCTTTAATTCAAGAGCCTGGGCACTGTCCCTGAGCTTTCATATTCTCAAATCTAACACCACTTCCAACTTTCTTGAGTCTCATGGTCTTTCCTACCCAGACTGGCTTCAAACCTCAGTCCTCAGATCTCAGCCTCCTGAGTTGCAAGGATTACAGGTGTGAGCCACTAGTGCCCAGCCAAGTGGTTTGTTTTGTTTTTTAAATTTCCATATTCCTTTTCTAATTTCATCCTAACTTAAATAAGAAACAAGATGATAGATCTTTTATTCACTATTATAGTGAATAAGAGTGAATAGTGAAATGAATAATGAAAATAGTGAATAAATATAGTGAATATAGCTACACTATAGCACAGTGTGAAGAAGGTCCTCAGCTAATATGTATTTGAATGAATGAATGAATGAATGTTACAGTTTGCAGATGGGCAAGACATGGAAAGATTGTGACTTGCATAAGTTAGTACAAATTGCCAGTAGAACCAAGGCTTTGCTCTCTGGATGCCAGGCTTTTATCTACCAGTTGAAAGGGTACAATATATTAAGCAATAAGTGTTATCAGAATTTAAACATCACTATAACATTTTCTAGAAATTGTTCTACAACCATTTTAGGTATTTCAGATTTATATAACCAGATTGGGAAATGACAGTCATAGCACATGAAATTAAAATTCAGGGTAATTACATGAAGTAGTAATTACTGAAATTTGTATGTGGATTTCCATGTAAGAAAAGATCCTTCTCTTACTACCTTCTTTTTTTCATAGGGGCATCACTCTGGTTTGCCTTAAATGTGATTTCTTAACTGATGCTTCTGGCTTAGACCGTATGGCTAAACACTTAAGTCACCGTAAAACTCATACTTGCCAAGTTATAGTAGAGAATGGTATGTATACATAATTTATTCCTTTGAATTTCTAATGTTTAGTGTGGTATCTTTGATCAGCCACAGTATGCGCTCTTATATTCAAATCAATAGTCTTACTCTTTGCATACAGGTTTATATGTAAAACCCTTCTTCTGATTTCAGTTTCTGAAAGTACCTCAACTTCTGAACCCACTTCTCAGTAAGTTTAATTTTACATTTTACATTGATGGATTTTTTTCTTGAAGTTTTAAAATGTATCATTAATAGAAATGAAAAATATTAAGGCATGTTTTTGTTTTTGTTTTAAAGCTGCTCCTGGAAATAGAATCCTGCTCTATGGAGCTCGTGCAACCTGGTACAAGACAAGTTGAAATGTCCAAAATTCAAAGTGTTTTCTCATACAAAGATGGTTGAACAAGTTCATAACACTAGCTCTCATTCTTTAGCTCTTTGAAGCTTTCAAGCGGCACTAGAATTTTATTCTACTTTATCTGTGTCAGATTAACATATCTTAATAAGTATAGTTTTTCTGCAGTTGACTCTTTCCAAAAATTCCTTTTGTTGCTATTGTCTTTTTCGCTTTGCTTGAAATAATTTGTGTTTTTCTCTGTTATACTTGCCTTCAGAATATTACATTCCAAACAATATGGCTGTTCATATGTTTTTGTGTTTTGTCTGACTTCTTAATTTCTTATGTCTTATCTGACCTTTTGTAGGTTACTTGATTTTCCTTCATTCCTTTTCTGTCATTGTTCTATTTTTCAGATGTAGAAGCAACACAGAAACTTTACAAAAATGTCTGGTGTATTCCTGGACAGTATCATCCTTCAATGGGAACAACTGATACCTGTTCTCTTTCTAAGGAAAGTGAATTATTTGACTATGAATCCCCTTCCAATTTGTGACCTTAAGAAATCAGAACTTAGGAAGAGTTCCTTTCTGCCTGAATGGCTTCTCATAATAAGGCTGATGATGATTTGGCCAGTGATGACCTCCAGATCTACCAAATTGAACACAGCTTTCTACTGAAAGGCTTTGGTGCTTGAGCTTGAGCTTGTGGCATGATTCTAACCAAGAAAAGCCCATTTTATCAGTATTTCAACATTCAAGTTCAAGTTTTTTTGTGCACGTCCTGGAACTTGAATTCAAGGCCTGGGCACTGTCCATGAGCTTTTGTGCTCAAGACTAGTGCTCTACCACTTGAGTCACAGCTCTACATGTACTTTTTCGTGGTTAACTGGAGATAAGTGTCTCATGGAGCCAGGTGCTACAATGGCTCATGCCTGTAATCCTAGCTACTCAGGAGGCTGAGATCTGAGGAGTGCAGTTTTGAAGCCAGCTTGGGCAAGAAACTTATCTCCAGTTAACTACCAAAAATTCAGAAGTGGAAGTGTGGCTCATGTGGTAGAGTGAAAAGGCAAAAAAAAAGCTCCAGGGCAGTGCCCAGGTTCTGAGCTCAAGCCCCAGGACCAGTACCCCTTCCCCCTCAAAAAAAAATTACGGACTTTTATGCCTGGGCTGGTTTCAAACTAAGATAGATCCTCAGATCTCAGCTTCTTAAGAGTAGGATTACAGGCATGAGCCACTGATGCTAGCTTAAAGTTGAAGTTTAATCATTTTGGCTGCTAATCTTTACCTAGCATACATGCAGTCTAAAGAATATAAAAAAATTTTTATGTTAGGAATCAAGAATAATTTTATATTTTTGGAAAAACAGACTTTCTAAAATTATCCTTCCAAAGTTCATGTTGTCATTTAAAGTTTTATACAGTATTGTTTCTAGGAGTTTTCAACAAAACTGGTGTTTTACTTTAAAGAAATTATTTTGCTAGCACAGTTTTATGTTGTTCTTCAGTAAATTGATGTTCATTTTGTACTTTCCTTTCAAATCTTTGTTCTGTGTTTGGTTTTAAGAACTCCAAGAAATTTCCTCAACATTCTCTATTATTCCATGTAGCTACGTGGTAGCTTCTTAATTTGATACCTGCTGAGATAATTGGGTACTAATACATGCTATATCTTGGGACTATCATTAACATTTTAGGGATTAGGTGTTCAAATGTACGAGGACTTGACAAAGATCCTCTTCATGACCTTAAAACAAGTTTTAAAGATACGTTTCTGTTTATCTGACCCATACTATCTTTTTAGTCATTAATGTAACTCCTTTGGATAAAGATAATATATTGAAAACTATTGGGACCAAAATTTGCACTTGTTTCTTGTGTGTGTGTGTGTGCATATATATATATATATACATATATATACATACATACATGAATAGATGTATATTTTTTTAATTTGTTGTTTGTTTATTTTGGTTACATTGAATATAGATTTGTTGGAATGTTTTGATGTTACTTATTTTTGTAATAAAAAGTTTATTGTTAAAGACCTTTGGAAATTATTTTAGAATCAATAACTTCACATGACAACTATAGATTGTATCGTATATCTAGAAGCATTGCTTTGCTTTTCATATGTAAATTAGATTGGTGGGCATACGCACAGAGAACCCTACTGAATTCATCTTGTACCTTTTCTTAAAGCACAGTTAAAAGTTCACTATTATAATATTTCACAAATTCAGAAATGGAGGTATGGCTCAGATGGTAGAGTAAAAAAGCCAAGCTAGAGCTCACGGCCCATGTACTCACACAAAAAAGTAAATGAAAGCTGGGCACCAGTGGTTCATGCCTATAATCCTAGCTACTCAGGAGGCTGAGATCTGAGGATCATGGTTCAGAGCCATCCCAGGAAGGAAAAGTCCGTGAGACTCTATCACCAATAAGCCATTCAGTAAAACTGGTAGTGGCACTGTGGCTCAAGTGGTAGAGTGCTCACCTTGAGCTGAAGAGCTGAGGGACAGTGCCCAGGCCCAGAGTTCAAGCTCTACAACCTACAGAAAATATTTTATTAATTTGAACTTAAAAAAGAACTAGCATATGGATCTTAATAACCAAGAAGTTGGGCAGGCATTGAATTCAGACTCAGTCATGAGTGGGGATTTTTCTTGTAAAATCAGAACTTTATGGAAGTACTTCTAAGTGTATTAAAAGCCATTTTTTCAAGCTGAGCATGGTGACCTGCCTGTAATCCCAGCCACTCAAGAGGCAGAACTTGGAAGGTTCACAATTCCAGGTCAGCCAGGCAGTTAGGATGGCCATTTAAAACAGGACGTCTGCCAGATGCTGATAGCTCATGCCTATAATCCTAGCTACTCAGGAGGCTGAGATCTGAGGATCATGGTTTGAAACCATCCCAGGCAGAAAAGACCCTGGGAGACTCTTATCTCCAATTAGCCACTCAAAAATGAGAAGTGGAGCTGTGACTAAAAGTGGTAGAACACTAGCCTTGGGAGCTCAGGGACAGTACCCAGGCCCTGAGTTCAAGCTCCGGGACCAACTAAAAAGTAAAACAAGAAGTCTTTCCATTTATATTAAATCCAAAATAGGCAAGGTTATAGAGCAATAAGGCCGATTATTTGTTTTAATAGCTGGGAGAAGAGGAATGGGGAGAAGAATGGGAAGCACTTGCCTAATGGGTATGGAATTTTATTTGGGGGTGATGAAAATGTTTTAGAACTAGGTAAAGCTAGTTTTACAGTGTTATAAATATTGCCTGACACTGAATTTCTTAATCTAAGATTACTAATTTTGTGATTTGTAAATCATCACATTTTTTACAATACTAGAGTTTAAAGTCAGGACCTCACATTTGCTAGACAAGAACTCTACCACTGGAACCCTAGCCCTTTTTGCCTTAATTTTTTCAAATAAGGTCTCATTTTCTCCTCAGGCCATCTTGAATCATGATCTTCCTACTAATGCCTCCTGCATACCCTGGGTGACAGGTACACACTACCATGCTGGGTTTTTTTGATTGGGATGGTATCTTGTTAACTTTTTTCACACAATGGCTTTGAACAACTAATCCTTCTAATCTCAACCAAGTTGCAGGGATTACAGATGTGAGCCACTCTGCCTGGCTCATCAATTTTTGAAACCTTAGAAATTAGGAATATAGGGGCTGGGAATGTGGCTTAGCTATAGTGTGCTTGCCTAGCATGCATGAAGCCCTGGGTTAGATTCTTCAGCACCACACAAACAGAAAAATCCAGGAGTAACACTGTGGTTCAAGTGGTAGAGTACTAGCCTTGAGCAAAAAGAAACTCAGGGACAGTGCTCAGGCCCTGAGTCCAAGCCCCAGAACTGGCAAAAATAGGAATATAAAGGAAACTTTAATGTATTAAAATCTATAAATTGACATTATAATGATTCCAGAAAGTAGGCAGGCCCTGAAGATGACTAATACCTGGGTCAAGGAGCAAGACAGATGAGGTTGTAGCAGAGCTGGAAGGATGAAAAGTAGCAGATAGAAGATGTCTGTCAGTTGGACAGACAATATAGTACAGAAACTTATAAGCAAGCCCATTAGTAGAGCTTAAATGGAGTTTATATTTCAGTAAACAGAGAACACAAAATCCTTAAGTACATTCATAGCTGCATCACTCGAGCTACTGTCTTGAGAATAAGCTGTAAGCCACCAAGTGCAAAATCCAGGGTGTCAGTTAGAATGTTATAGGAATAATCCAGATGTGAGTTTAGACTAGGATGGTAAAAGTATAAGAAATCAGTGGCTTAAGTTGAAGTACATATTTATGGCTGAGTCCACACACAAATTTTGTTGAGGGAGTATGAAGGGAGTATGAGTCACGATTGTCACCGTTATTGCTAGTCGCTTTCTTCCCTTTCTGATATTATTTACCTTCATTTTATTCAGATAGAAAGGCTATGACTTTGATAAGAAAAAATTTCTTTGTGGTGCTGAGGAGTGAACTCAGGGGTTTGCACATGCTGGGCAAGTACCTGAGCTGAGCCACAGTCCTAACCACTTCTAATTCTTTTTCTAACCCTATATATCTTTCTAAATAGTCATTGTTAAACTGCATGGTACCAGCTAGATTTTCAGTGTCTCAAGCTCTCCATAGTTCTATTTTCAGGGAATTTCTGTGACTTCTATGTAAAGGTAAGTCATCTTGCCTTTTATAAATAATTTAGGGGTGTTTCCACTAAATATTATGGATTTAGAGCTGACTACACTATGTTTTGCCTCACTTACTTCCCTGATCTTGAAGCCCTTCTGCAGCCTTATACTCGTCACTTTGGTATTTGACCACCTGGAAGAGTTTCCTGTCAAGGACAAACTTGGAGAGACCATTGTATATCTTTCCTACTGTTTTTTTTTAATTCTCCATACTGAAATACATGTCTACACCACTGTGATGTATGGTGATGTGGTAAGAGAACAACCTTGAAGTTCAAGCATTTTAGATTCAAATTCTGATGATGTGTGTAAACAGCTATATAATAGCCTTGCAATAATTATCTGAACTTGTTCAGAGTCAGCTTCATCATCAGTGAATTTATCAGTAATGGTAACAACTGTATATAATTTGGCAATGACCTGAAAAAACCGACCCTAAATAAATGAAGCTGATATTACTGCTGCTCCTGCTGCATTAGCAGCTGTTCTTTTTTTTTATTTAATTTAATTTTATTTGTGAACATACTGTACAGAGGGGTTACAATTACATGGGCAGGATAATGCATACATTTCTTACCCTCCTTTGGTTTACCCTTCACATCCCTTCCCAGCCTCCCCCCCCCCCAATCCCAATCCTTCTCCTTCCCCCCTCCCCCCCCCCCGCACCGACGTTGTAAAGCTCCTTTTGGACATGACAACTTGTACTTCTCATTGTTGCGACAGGTCCACCTGTATCCTTAAACAACTGGTTTTTCCCCATCTCCTCCACAAGTTATACTGACATCAAATATAGTGAAAGCAGGGGTTATACTGTGGGGGAGGGACATACAAAGCAACAAAGAGATAATCTTATAAATGCGTTAGAAACATGCATGAAAGAAAATAACATTAAAATACATATCTAAGGGTTCATTTTCCTGACATCACATTATCTGACCTTTTCCGCTTGACTCATACATATACTAGATATTGCAAATAAGGGAAACCATGGGACCTATGTTTCTTTGGGCCTGGCTTACTTCACTTAATATAATTTTTTCGAAGTTTTTCCATTTCCTAACAAATGGGGCAATGTCATTCTTTCTGATGGAGGCATAGAATTCCATTGTGTATATATACCA